ACCTCATGGTGGCCAGAAAGCAAACAGAGAGAAGAAGAGTCTGGGGGTCCTAATATACCCTTCATGAGCACACCTCAGTGGCCCAATTTTCTCCAACTAGGCCTACTACCTGTAAAAGTTCTACCTCCTAATAGTGTCACAGGCTGGCAACTAAGTCTTTAGGATATGAACCTATGGCAGACACTTAAGATACAAACCTTAACAATAATTATAGGTGTTTTTCAGGAAGAAACCAAACACTTATAATAGAGGCAATAAACCAAGTTCTATCATAGGGATTAATAAAAAAACTCAAAAATTATTTATTTATTTATTTATTGGTGCTTGTGGTTTTATTTATTTATTCCATTTTATTGATTTTATTTTATTTTAAATACAAGACAGCAGAATGCATTACAGTTTTTATTACAGCTATAGAGTACAATTTTTCATATCTTAAAAAACTCAAAATTTAAAAGTCACAGAATTTATGATTGTACAGACACACACACACACACACACACAGACACACATGCGTGCTCAAACACATATACATTATCCTTACAAAATTGCTTAGTATCAGGGATAAAGAAAACAATTTCCTTTGAGTATACTGGAGATGAAGACCTGTTTAAAAAGATGTTAAATAAGGCTGTCAAATATAAATTACCCAAATTAATGTTTAGAAAACATCATCATCTCAACTAAATTAACCAAGAGAATTCTTCATGGATGAAATAAGTTTCAAATTCATTTAAGTATATGACTGTATTAATGAAAAGAATATGCATGAATATTGTAAATAATTTGTAAAAAAAATTTTAAAAAAGACAAAACTGTTATGGTTTGAATCTGAAATGTCTCCTAAAGTTCATGTGCTGAAGGCTTGAACACCCAGTGCAACAGTGTTCAGAGGTGTGAGTTTTAGGAGGTGATTGGATCATGAGGGCTCCAACCTCATCAATAGATTAACTGTTAAATGGGCTACTGGAAACTAGTGGAAACTTTAGGAGGTGGGTCTTAGTTGGAGGAAGTAGGTCACCAGGGTTGTTCCCTTGAAAGGTATATTTTGTCCCAGGCTCCTTTGTCCCTCTTCTTCATTCCCTTTGTCTCCCTCTACTTCCTGGCTACCATGAGGTGAATCGTTTTCCTCTGCCATGCCTTTCCCCATGATGTACTGCCTTACCACAGGTTCAGAAACAATGGACTAAGTGACCATGAACTGAAACTTCTGAAACTGTGAGCCAAAATAAATCTTTTCTCCTTTTAAGTTGATTTTTTCAGATGTTTTGTCACAATGGAAAACCAATTAACACAAAGACTATTGGAAGCTGCACACAGTAGCACACTTCTGTAATTCAGATCCTCAGGAGGCTGAGATGGAAGGATAACAAGTTAGAGGCCAACCTGGGCAACTTAGCAAGATCCTGTCTGAAAATAAAATTTAAATAAAAAGAATATAATTGTTGAATAAATTATAATACATGCTATGAATATATAATGTAGCTTTTAAAAATTAACACGTGAATATGTACTGAGTAATCATTACATGTCAGGTACTACACTAAGTGTTATATCCATTTGCTCATTTAGCTCTCACTTCAACACTACTTCCCTTTGCCCCGCTGTTCTGTATGAACTGCATCAACAGGCTTCCTTGTCACATAGTTGGGGGTTGGATTAGGTCTACAGATAGGATCAGTAGAAGACTGGAGGGAGGGAGGACATGAAGGTTGGGTATTTATCTTCCTGGCTTCCACCCTGTAAGCTTTCTGTAAGTTGGGTGCACCCTGAACTAAAAGGCACAACTTGCGTTAGGCAGCCCTTTTCAAAAAGCTCCTTAGTCTATGACACTTTTACCTCTTTCTATGAAGAATTCCTAACTTTGCCCTTTCTGTATCTATTTATTTTTCTTGCTTCCCTCTGCCCCTTATTCACATGGCAGGAAGCCAGATCTTTTGAAAACTCAATCTGGGCATAATGCCTTACTTAAAAATCTTGCAGTGTTCTTTGGATAAAGGAAAAGGACATTTTTCAGTGTTAGGGTAGAATCCAGGACCTTGTGCATATTGGGCAAGAGTTCTACCACTGAGCTATATTCCCAGGTCCAGATCAACAGTCTTACCTTAGCTCAGCTGTCGTCAGCAGCTTTGTCTCCAGCACTTCCCCCTTGCCATAGCTCCACCGGCTGACTTTTAGTTGCCCCAATGAACCATGCTTCTTTCTACCACAGGACCTTTGCTCACATTGTTTCCTCTTTCGGGAACATTTCTATGTTTCCTCACACAAAGGTAATTTCCAGTGTGGTAAGAATACATGTTAAATAAAAACTTGCATAGGTCACGGATTTGGATTGGGCACCTGCACTGCTTCCAACAGACCAAACCAATACAGAGTTTAATTACAGTAACTGTATTTTGGTTGGTTGTAGGAGACCCTGTAGCCAAGTAACTAAACTATAACAAATAAACAAGTTAAACTGTAACCAATTGACTGGTTGAGTAGGTTATAGACAATCAGGTTGTTCACTCTGTCTCACTTCTATTTTTCAATGAACTCTTGTCAGATTCCACAATAAACCAAGATTCCATTTTTGGTCTGAGTTCTCAAAACCTGCCTCTACAAGACTGTGTTGGAACGATAATGGCCTATGTCTTGTGTTGCCGGCATATTTCCCATACCTTGCATTAACAATAGTGTGAGATCACATTTTGGAATAAAAACCAAAATAAAAGCAACATGAATAAGGAGAGAAGTGGGCAGAATTACATTAGAAAGAGCTGGCTTCTTTATTATTTCCTCTCTCACTACTTCAGAGTCTAATAAGATAAAAATGATCCCAATTTAGTTCAATTTCAAGTCCTTTTCTAGGTGGTAAAAACTATTAAATACAGATAAATACTACTACATCTATATTTCCTCACAGCTTGTTCAAAAGATGTTTGTTAGTCAGGCAGGATAAACTTTTATAGGTAGGAACACATATTTAGTTAATTTCTTGGAGTTCTCATCATTTACCCTAAATTCATATCATACTGTCATCTATTTTGAGGGTTCCAGTGATGACAAATTCCATTTTAGAAGGATAGGAAAATGTGGGATTTTAAGAAAGAGATAAAACTAGCAAGACAGAAGAGTGGCTGCACAATGAAGTGTAAGCACTACATATAGCTGTTTCAGGAGAATGGGGAAACACATTTTCTTTTTTATTTGCTTCTGTGCCTTAGCCATCCTTTGACTTTCACTTTTATATTCCTGTCCCGCTTAATCTGTGATAACCGAGTTATTTTTCCTGCCTACCTGTTTCAATTAAGCACTTCAGCTTGGGGGAAAAAAAAAAACCCATAAAGAACCAATAACTAACAGGTCTCCCCCAAGTGACAGTTTCCACCTTACCCCTCCCCTCTCCAGGGAGAGCTCGCGGCTGCGCAGACCTCACCAGGCCCTAAGTGACGTCACAAAGGGGGCAGACCAAGTGCAGCCAGGACGGTGGTTTTGCGACCCTGCCCACTGCATTTGTTTCTTTCAGATATCTGATTTTCCAAGCCCCTTGCCGCCCATAACCCTCTTAATTGAAGCGTAATAAAGAAATCAACAAGTTAAGAACCCACGTGGCCACACCTACACCTACGCCCCTACTCTCGCCAGGCTACTGTCCTCCCCTCTGCAGTGGTATCACTTGGCCACTACCAACTGCAGAGCTCTGCACGCGCGCGCAGCGGCCCGCAGACGGGGAAGGCGGAGCTAGGCCACACCAGCGCCTCATCTCCCCGCCTCCTAATGGGCTGGGCCCTCCCTCCCGGCTTCTGAGAGCGCAGACTCCTGACAGCGGGGCCCGCAAGGCAAGCGCGGGTAGGGGAGGCTAGGGGTGGCAGGACGCCTCTGCCAGCGCCCCGCGAACTCAAGAACCATGAGCGCATACAGTGTGGCCACCTCGGGCGGCGGCGGCGGCGGCAGCGGCAGAGGCGGCAAAGGCAGAGGCAAAGACAGCAGCGTAGGCGTTGGCGTCGGCGTTGGCGTCGGCAGCAGCGGCAGGGGGCGTGAGGCGGGGCTGGTTTCCAAAGCCCGGGACCTCCCTGCCGCGGTCCAGAACCTAGACTCCAGCGCGGGTACAGGCTCGAGCAACTCTGAGTGGAGCATCCACTCTGAGTGGCGGACCCTATCCCAACCAACTTCTGATGTCCCATCTAGTTTGTCCACTGAGAATCCTACTGAGTCCTGGAGCTCCAGTGCGCCTTCCCACCTCAGCACTAGTTCTGGCCAGAGAAATGATAACAGCTCCACGGCTAGCCCCAGGAGCTTAAGCTCCCAAGGAGTTAAGGATCATGTCCTCACACCTGCCAGTCTGTCAACCACCTTAGATAGGTCCTCCCCATCCTCCTCCCAAGACGCTGGCACTCACCGGGAATCGGGAGCAGAATCTACCCTGCCCTTGGGCTCCTCCCAGCTGTCAGGACGAGGGTCCTCCCTGACTTCTATGCCTAGCTCTTATCAAGAGTCAGTAGCGTCAGACGCACCTTCAGTGTACAGCACACCCCGAGGGTCGCTACAAGAGCCCACCCCAACCTTAATGTCTGGCTATCCCTGGGTATTGGTACCAGGACTTCCTATATCCAATAATTCTTCCCAACTGTCGGTACAAGCACCTCCTACACCCAATAACTCCCCCCAAGGGTCAGTACACGGATCCATCACGCCCTCTCTTTCCGGCTATCCTTGGTTACCAATACCAGTACCTCGTACACTCTATATCCCTTCTCAAATGTCGGTTCAAGGACCTTCGACGCCCAATAACGCCTCCCAAATATCAATACAAGAGTCCGCCATGCCCTCAGTGCTCAGCACTCCCCGGAATTCGTTACAAATACCTCCTGTACCAAATAACACCCCCCGAGTGTCAGTACAAGAGCCCGCCCCGTTCTCAGCGCCCGGCTCCCCGCTGGTATCTCTGGAAGGATCAGCTCCGCCCCCAGGCGCTCCCCGAGTGTCAGCACCAGAGTCCGCCCCGCCTTCATTGCCCTACCCCTGGGTATCATTAGAAAGATTGGCTCCGCCCCCGGACGCCGGGCTAGAGGGGGTAAAAGGGTCCGCCTGGTCCTTGGCGGTCCCCACTCTTATACCCACGCCTCCGCCTCCGGAGAGTTCCAACCAAAGCATGGCGAGTCGGGAGAAAGCGAGTACCGCAGGCCACATGTTCGACGTAGTCGTGATAGGAGGCGGCATCTCAGGTCAGTGTGCACCATAGCGGTGGCCTGAGGGTCCCTGGCCTGCCTGGGGTGGGGGACTTGCAATGTGACTGTGGTATTTGGAGGTCTCTAATGTGCTTGGGAGAGTGTAACTGTGCCAGGGCTCCAAATCCTACAAGGTGGGAATGGGGGTTGGGTCCATTTTGCTAGTGGTGTGAACTGGGGGAGGGAGGCACAATTATTTTACTATTATTAAATACTAATATTTAACTCTTGCTGTGCAGTTACATTTAGCACTTTTTGTAGATTTTCTCAGTCCTTAGCAGTTCTATATGGTGGGTGCCAAATTTGCCATATTTCACAAAACCAAGCAACTGAAGTCTTGGGAGGAGACAGGTTTAATAACTGTCAGGAGATCAAATAGCCTAGCTGGGAAGTGGCTGAACCATTTTCTCTCATTTAAAACCCTCACTCCTAATTCCTGAGGTGGCTGCTTTACCTTACTGATTTCACATCCTTTGCTCTAAACAGAACTACGAATTTCTGTAGTATTGAGGTGGTGGTGGTAGTAGTAGTAGTAGTATCCAGTCCTGCTCTTCTCTAAAGCACTTTTCCTTAGAAAATTTGGTAGGTGAAGGGCAGGGAGATAGAATCCTTTAGGAAAAGGTAAAATTAAAAATTAAAAGGAAAGGTGAGCTCTTAGTTTCAACCTATTACTACTCCCATTTTTTCTGAACTTGCAGGAAGGTGTAGGGCTTTTATTGCCCAAGGGAATGTTTTTATGAAGCAGGCGCTGAGGGCAGCTTGTGTCCTTTTTCTAAGAGCTCTTACTGACTTGCATTTTGTCCCTTGGTTCTGGCTTGAGTTTGTGGTTGATCAAGTGAGTAGTGCATAAGGTTTTTGGGTATCTTCCTGAAAGCTTCATCATGATTAATACATTAAATTGCCATTAATATTGTTACATTTGGCAAAAATATTTCAAATTTAGAGATTGTGTTATGTTTCAGTCCTAGCTAGAATCCCACACTGACCTGTCCCCTCTCCCCAGGTGTTAGTAATTTCAAATATACCTATAGAATGTGATTTAGAAAGAAGGGGAAGAAAGGTGGAAGGGAGTAAATAAGGTACCCCAACAAGGAGCCATTTTTTTATGTGTGATCTTTTGACGAGGCTGAACATGTTCATATATTAATTTTGGATACAAATAGCTCAGGCTGTTCAGGATAAACAGTCTTGATCACCAGAGAAGAGGTTGACATGAACTGATGAACTGTTGCTTTGCAATTCCAGCCAGTTTGAGAAAAAACATGCATTTAGGTAGGAGCATCAGACGATAGCAGATTCTGATGGCGAGTAAGAAAAAGGAGCATTTCTATTGTTTCACCTTCATTCCTTTATTTATTCACTCCTTTAACAAACACTTGTTGACTGGTATTTTCAAACACCTTGTCCTTCTAGGCAAGCATTCTAGAAGCAATATGATTGTTGGTCACTGGAAAATTAATATGATGATAATTTGTAGGATTAATTGATTAGGGGTTCTGTCTCCTCTTCTGTCTATATATCACACAGTTTGGGGATCTTTCTGGGATTTTATTCTTACCTTTTTCTTTGCTTGTCTCCAGTATTCCTTTAAGAGTTTTATCTTTTGTTTTTCCCTCTGCCTGATTTATTGATCTTTCTCCTTTCTCCCACCTGATTCCCAATACTTGGTCATTATCAGATGTGGATTTAGCGTGTAGCTGATGAACCTTATGCTTTATAGCCTTACAGCTTGAAGTCCCTTCTGTTTCTTGTGCTAAATAAATAACAAGTTCCATACTGAATCTTCTTTTCACAATTTTGCTTTCTATTTTATAAAGAGAATGTCGAAATTATATAAGACCCCACCAAATTGGGATCTGTTCATAGTCATTATTAATTATTAATTTGTTCATTTCCATTTGGGACAAATAGAAGGCATTTCTTGAGCAGTAGTTCATGTCTTTATTCCAGAGGCCAGCTTCCTGTTCATCAGTGACAGTAGGAAAAGCACTTGGCTTCCTCAAATGTCATCTCTATCAGGCAGATCTGAGTAATTTTAATACCCAACCTGACCAGAAACATTTTTTTTCTGTCTGCAGTATATTTCCAGATGATTCACAACTAAAATAAAAGTAGATGCAAGTCTGGTTTCTGTTAGGTCCCATCATAGACTGGGTATTCCATGAACCAGCATTTTTTTCCCATACATTCTTGTGAACTCCAAAACACACATCCTCCTTGTATGTGCTTGGCCATATACCATGAAATAGTCTCTCTAGGTTTTAAATGCATTTGGATGTTCCTTTTAACTTTTGTTGAGACTTGAACACTTGTTAAGTTACCCGCACATTTATAACATATGACCAATACTTTGCATTTGCAGTGTCATTCCTAAATGTAACATCCAGAGGATACATATTCTCAATAATATTACTCAAAATCAATATATGATAATAGAATTATAACTATCTTTGTACAAATAATTGCACATCTTGTTATATCTCCGTTTATCATTAATAGAATAAAATGGAGTGTGTCTTACAGCCACAAAGCCCTTCTTTATGTTCACCCACTAGTTAAATAATTTTATATACTCTGTTAATAGTTGAAAGGGGAAACAGCCCTACTTAATTATTAGTATACTGGTTTCTTTTACTTACTTTGGCCCTTGTCCACCATCACCCATTATCTATCACCAAGAATTTTTAAAACTCTTCATGTTTTCTGTGACACTTTCAAATTCTGAATTTTTATATCACATTGATTGTTTTTTTTCCCTTCCTTTAACTGAGTTGATATTCTTGCGAACTTCTGGTTTTGAAATGATCTCAAGGTTCTGTGATTCATTACTTTTGAACTTTTGAGAACTTGTCCTCTCTTTCACAACGGAGAACTTCAACATTCTCTTATCTGTAGAAGGCTCCCACATCTCTAATTTGAATTCTTTTCTTTATCTCAACTTCTATCCTTTAGATTATCTTCCTGGATATTTGGAAATACTGTAGATTGACCATGTCCAAAAGCTACCATGTCTTTCAATTCAGCATCTCTTCCTTAGTTCCTTTTTTTTTTTTTTTTTGGTTTTTAGTGGGAGAAGGAGTTACTACTATTTTTTTCTATTATTCTTGATACATACTTTTTTTCTTTCATCCTCTACACCCCCTTATTTTTGGCGATGCTGGGGATCAAACCCACAGTCTGGCATACACTAAGCACACACTCTTCTGCAAAGCTACATTCCCAACTCCCCCATACTCTTTTAGCAGGTCTAGATTCTGTTTGGGGATATTCCTCTTTTGCTTCCCCTGTGACCATTCCTCTACCCTCATCTCCAGGGCAGAATTTTGACCCCTGAAGCCTACCTGATTATGATACTCTTCCCAGTTGTCACTCTTTACAGTAATAGCTCTCCCTTTGCATCTAACTTACACGCAGTATTCTCCAGGACTTGATTTACCTTAACCTCTTCTTTCATTATCTTGCTCATCTGTTTAGGACTTTTAGTGGTCTCCTATTACCAGCCTCTCAAGAACCCTTCATGTTCCCAATTATCTGGTCCCACTTTGGTAGACAAGTAGCATTTCCTACTCTACCCCAACTTGGACTTGAACTTTAGTCATGCTGCCTCTTGTTCTCAGTGCCACACTGTGTTTATTTTTTCCCTCATAACTTTCCTATTTTTTTCTTTTTTAACATGGAAATTCTTCTCTCTGTTCATTTATTTATATCCTATCCATCCTGCAATACTTGGAGGAAGATCCTTTCATTGATTACTCTGGCTCCCATTGACTCCACCATCCTCTTTGTAGAGCTTATAATCTGCATTTAACAATTTACACTCAATTTCTGCCTCTTATTTCTTGATTTATTTTAAGGATAGTGGTTGAGCCACTAATGTAAGATGTTTTTTATTTTTCTTGCTCATAAGCCAAGCTGCTACAAATAGAAAAAATGATAGAAGACCAGCAACAGATTTTTTTTAGTTATAGATGGACACAGTATCTTTATTTATTTTTATGTGGTGCTGAGGATCAAACCCAGTGCCTCACGCATGCCAGGAAAGCACTCTACCACTGAGCTATAACCCCAGCCCCAACAGATTTTAATATTTGCTCTTAACTGGGAATTTCTGAGATGTCTTTCTTTAAAGAGAAAAACAAGGAAAAGAGAAAAAAAACCCACCTCTAGGGGACAATGCATATTATCTTTCACAGGGCTGTTTAGAATTTCAGACTCCTTGCGTCTAAAGGGTTTTAAAAGCAATCTAGTTTGATCACCTAAGATTTTAATCCTCCTAACAGCATCTCCTTAATGATTATCTGACTATAGCTCTGAACACGTCTAGGGGAAAGTGAATGTTCTATTCCTCAAAGCAACTCATTACAAGCAGCAGTAGCTCTGGCTCCCGAACTTGTTCAGGCATTTTTGAGCCGCTACCATATGCTATGCAGTGGCTAGATCACAGGGATAGAGGTAGATAAAGATGAGTAAATAGCATCACTGCCCAGAAGGTTCCCCTATCCTCTTGGAAGAAGTAATCAAGTGGGCAAATAATTGACATGAATATAGTGAGATAGATATGAATGTTATGAACATGAACAACGTCCTGGGACCTTCAAAGAGAAGTAGGATTTTAACGGATAGGAATAGGAGGATGGAAAAAAGACATACCAAACAGGAAGGATTGGAGATGCACTAGTAAGGAGTCAGGAGAATGTAAGTCATACATGAACAGGGCTTAATATAAGCCCCCAGCAGAAATGCCAGGGAAGGAAAAGAGTTGCCCCCTGTGCCCCTAGGGATGTGATGCTGATAGCTATTGAGATGACCCTGGTGTGCCAACTCTGCCTGATTTTTGTGCCTGTGTGAACTGTGAATACTTAACAAAGGCACAGTGAAAACACCTTAGTCGTAGCACTGGAGTTTTAAAAATTCTGCAAAAAGTGTCTTGTATAAAGAGCTTTTAGTGTCCAAACAGTGTCTAAGCAATAGAATTGCCCCCCTTATTTTTTGTTTAC